CTGGGCCATTCCAGGTGCAGAACCTGGAAAAAGTGGATTTGAATAAACTCTGCCCCTGAGCACACTGCAGAGCTCCAGCAGAAGCGGAAAGCCCCGAGTTTCGCTGCAGGGTACTTCGGGGGCTAATAAGAACCCCCAGCCTGTGGCTATTTGGGCTACATCCCTGGTCCCTGCATACTATGCACATGACGAGCCTGGATGGGAATCTCACCGTGGGTCTGGCAGGGGCAGAAGGTTCAGGGGAGCCAGGAAGCCCCTCCCCAGCATCGCCCTAAAGAGAAGAAAATGGTCAGTGAAGCGCTGGTGCTACCATCCCCTCCCCTTTCTGTAGAAACCGTGCTCATCTCTAAGACAGGGATTATGTAGGAGCGAAGAAAGGCACTGTCCTTTACAGAGGCAGCCCAAGGGGGTACCATGTCCCCCCCAGCCCGCGTTTGTTTCTGTACCACGGGGCTGGGGGAGACGGGGTGTGGTGGGAAGAGCTGACCAGTGTGGACGTGCACTGCACACACACAACCCCCCTTGTCACCCAGGCTTCCCCCACCCTGATCTGAACCCTGCCGGAGCACCAGCGTCCAGCCTCGACCCAGCCTCCCTCCTAAGCCTGTCCTGCCCACTCGCTCGGCCCACCAGCCCCCGTAACCCCTCCAGGGCCTTTATTGCTTGCAGGTCTGCCTCCCCGGGACCATGGGCCCCCGGAGGGCAGGCACGTGCCTGAATCACCTCCAGGTCCCAGTGCCTGGCACAGGGCTGGTGCTCAGGAAATGCTTTCAGAGTGACAGAAGCACCCACTGGGGAAGGAGAGAGAGAAAAGGAAAGGAGACAGAGTGGCATCCAGGCGGTTCTGGCTGTCCGAAAGGGTCCAGAGACATGGCTGCCCTGACAAATAAGGGACGGAATGGCCTGAGCCACCAAAAGGAGAGTGGAACTGTTGACAACAAAATCCCAAAACGTGTATTGTGATGCCCCCTCCTGGGGCCTCTTGCTGCACCCCAGAGCCCTGCTGGTATCTGAAGTGGCCAGAGGTGGCCAGAGGCAGAGAGAAGTGAGGACACTGCCCTCCCCGACCCAGCCCTCCCTTCCCAGCACCCCCTGGGCAGACTCAGAGGACCTCCTGCCCCAGAGGACTGCTCCTCTGCAGCCCCCGGAGGTGAGGAGAGGCAAGGGACCAGGCCGGAGTGAGGGGCAAAGGGTGCCCGGAGGCAGCCAAGTTGCTGCCTATGGCCAGAGCAGGCCCCCTGCATGGGATCTCCTGGGGACCACGGGCTGGGGTCACTATGGACACGTCCCCATGGGAATAGTTTAACACCAGCAGTTGTTCTGGTAAAAGGAATTCGATATCTTTCTGTGGGACTGACACCAGACAAAGCATCACCCCATTTCACCCCACCCCGCAGGGTAATCATCACCACCCCACAGATGAAGAAACTGGGGCAAAGAAGAGATAAAGAATTTTCCTGAGATCCTGCGGCTACCGAGAGGCAAACCTAGGTCTGTGGTCCTCGGAAGCTCGTTTGCCTAGCACTTTCCCAGGAAGAAAGTCAGGGGCAGAGTTCGGGCTCAGACACAGAGCACCAGAACCAGAAGGACCCTTCGAGGACACAGAGGGAAACCAAGGCCCTCCACAGTCAAGGGACCTGGCCAAGGTCACTAGGCAGTGAGACAAGACTCAGCCAGAACTGCCCGGTGCTGTTCTCATGACCCTCCCGGGCCCTTGGGTCAGCCTCTCCTGGGCTCAGCCCTCTCACTGCTTCTACTGCCACCTGGATCAGAATTGATTAAATTAACCCAAACAGCATGCTCAGGACACTTGTGTTTTCTGGAATGGTCACAGCACGAACCGTTTCTCCTTTGGGCACAGCCTGTTCTTTCATTCCTGCATGTACTGTTTGAGCCTAAAACAAGAAGATTTGGTTAAAACATGATCACAATGTCTTCGGGACATGGAGCTGCTGAGCTCTGAGGACGTTCGCTGGTCCTGGCCGGTGAGCTGGGGCTTGCACTGGGCCAGAATCGGCGAGCCCTGTGACGAGAGAGGCCATCTTGACTGCAGCGTCCCCTGCAGCGGCAGATAGTAGGCTGCCCGGAAGACCCAGGCATTGGAGTCACCCAGAGCTGACAGTCAGTCTTGTCTCTCACTAGTGCTCCACAACACAGATTTTTAAAATGTATGACTTCATTTTAAGGTCAATGTTCTCCCTATAGTCTCTAAAAGGTTCTAATAGATGAATCAATCCTGAGAAATGTAATGACTTCATTTCGGCCCTGTGGGCTTTGCTAACCAACTTCTGGCTCACGTCTGAAGGTGGTGGCTGTGAGCCATGCAAAAAACCAAAGCAGAAAGTCCAGAGACCAAAGCTCTCAGCCTTACTTGATCCCTGAGGGCTGTGTGACCTTGAGCAAAGCCCTAACCTTCTCTGGGCCCATGTGGCAGAGCCAAGCTTGATGCAACCTCTAACTCACTAAGTTATACTGTGGTGGGTGACTCTGAGATTCAAACTGACCCTAAAGATATTCCAGAGTGGGTGCTCTCTTGATAGTCCCCACTGTGCTTTTAAACTACCTGCTCAGACACCGGGGCCTGTGTTCTGGTCCATCGCAGGTCCCTGCACAGGCGCTTAGTGGCAATCCATCTCCATCAGCATGTGCCAGGAAGAAACACTACCACCATGTCTCCTCTCTCTCTCTCTCCCCCACTTAGATATTTTTTAAAAACCTACTGTAAAAATCACAAGCCCCCATAGCAGAAATCACCAAAATGTATTAAAAAGCTAACAACATCCCTGAGTTCCACCAGTTTGAGGCAACAACTGCTAACATTTACAGAGGGCATTTCCATCCAATGTTTCAGCATGTGCATAATTTTAAATAGTCAAGACCACACGGTATACTCAAGTTTATAACCAGCTTCTTTGACTTAACATTATATGGTAAGCATTTCCCTCATCTTGAAATACTCCTAATAAGTATAATTTCAATAGCTGCATAATGTTCCATTATTTGAATATACTTTATTCAATTAATCCCCCTATTGTTGGCTACCTAAATCATGCCCAATTTTTCTCTATTACGTACAACACTGAGACTAACATCCTTGTTCCTTGTGTACAAATCCTTGCTTTTTTTTTAAATCAGACTATCTCTGTTAGGATCCATTCCTAGAACAGAAGTTTCTGGGTCAACCAGAAGCAGCTTTATGGTTGTTAATATACGTGGACAAAGAGTCTCCCAGCAGCAGCAAACCTCAACACTTGCACCAGCATAGCTGGCCTCACCAGGCCGGCTGCTCGCAGCAGGAAATACAAAGGGTCTAAGGAAGAAACTGACCCAGTTTCTTTAACAAATTCATTGCAAAAGGAAAAAAAAAAAAGGTGGGAAACAATCAAAACTTGAAAGAACTGAAGAGACATGTCAAGCAAATGCAATGTGTAGATCTCTTTTGGGTTCAAATTCAAGCAAACTGTAAAGAGGCATTTTTTAAAAAAACAGCCAGGGTATTAGATAATATGACAGAACCATTGTTGACTTTGTTACATGGATAATGACATAGTGGCTACGATCAAAAAGGAAAAAGAGAAAGGTCCCAGATCAATCTATTAACAATACTCATCGAATTAGTTACGAGTGAAATGACAGTATGTTTGGGATTTGTTTTTAAATATTCTAGCCTTCCCCTCCCCTCCGAACCGGACGGTGACAGGAGGTGGAACAGATGAAGCAAGATTGGCAAAGTGCTGACAATTGTTCAAAGCAAGCGATGGGTATGCGGGGGTTTCATTACACTATTCTAAGCCCTTCTGTACATTTTTTAGATTTTCAATAATAAAAAGGTTAAAAAAAGAACAAAAAAGAACTGGCTCTATCTGCACCTGATGCGGTATTGCTTGGGAGATCTGGCCTCGGTGTTTTGCATGTACCTGGGGTGCAGCGCGGAAGGGCAGGGACTTTGTTTAGGAAGCCCCGGTGTGTGAGCAGGGGCCGCACAGCCAGCTGGCTGATCCCAGAGCTGGCCGCCCTCTGGGATGTCCCAGAGCCCGAAGCCCCAGCCCTTGTGTCTGTCTTACTTAGTCTAGCACTGGACTCGCTGTTTTAAGCTTCCCATGTGTCTCTAATGTGCAACCAGGGTTAAATCCCAGAGTTCTGTTCATCTTCCTTCTTTTATAGATGATGACAGGACCACCACGAGTCAGCAGCACCCCTGAGAGGGGAACTCTGGCCTCCTGGCTCCCCGCCCAGGGTCTCCCACCACGCCACACTCTCTCAGATGAGAACTGCCACAGGGTGAAGCTCAAGAGCGTGAGCTCTGCAGGCCAGCATGCCCGGGTTCAAATCCCCGCTCTGCCTCCTAGAGGCATGCAGCACCGGGCTGCTGACCGCACCTCCCCGAGTCTCACTACCCTCACCTGAAATGGAGATCATTCACCTTACACCAGAGTGCTGGTGGCGGGAATCAGACACTTGGAACACAGGGTGCTTCATCAATGTCAGTTCCGACAGCTTATTTCCTGCCCCTAGACTGCAAGTCTCTTGGGGACAGGAGCGAGGGCATATTCATCCCTGTCTGCAAGTGTCTGGACTGAGGGTCCAGCGCTGCATGTGTCCAGTGGATGGGCGACCCCACGACTGCACGGAGGACAGCTCTCAATAGAGAGACGCAGGAGCGTGATGGCTGCTGGACGAGGCCTCGGAGCAAAGGGCATTCCAGACTCCCCATGGGCTCTCCCGGCCACCTGGCCCACAGCCCCCGCCTCACAGGTCAGTCCCGCAGCACCCTGGCCAGCGGACCACCGCGCCGCAGCTTGAGTGACGGCTTTCCGAGTGTGCGTGACTGAGTGTTGCTCGGGGACTGACGAGCCCCGCTGGTCGCCCGTGGGATGTCTGCCTTTACAAACACGCTCCCATTGGAAGAGCACTTTGCTTCCCTGCTTCACGCAAGCCCAAGCCGAGGGCCAGCTCTGGGTTTCCCGTTTCTAAAAGACAAAGTGACAACCCCAAGTGTGTGCGCCTTCTCTGACTAGACCTCACAGCTGCCCTCTTCTGCAGATTGGGAAACTGAGGCCCAGAGAAATTGAAGGATTTGCTTAAGGTCACACAGTTACAGCCCAGAATCACAGAAAACGGGTGCTGGTGGGGACGTCCATCCCTTCTACTGCAAGACTCTGCCACACCTCAAAGTCAGCGTTTACCTCCTGGAGCAGCCCTGCCTGTTAGAAAGAGCTCACTTCGATCCACAGGGCAGCTTGGGACGCAAAGCTCCACTTTTACCTTTTTCCTCTACTGACCGCACTCTCCTCCAGAGTGCCCCAGGTTGAAGGCCCTCGGATGCCCAAATTTACAAACCGAAATGCAAACCCACCTCTAAGAAACCCAGGGCCGGCCCCTCCCGCAACTCCAGCCTGTGTCTCTCTCCCCTGTGAGCTCTGCCCAGCCTGGTCTTTACGCCTCTACCCGCTCACCAGAGTGACCGCTCTTTCGGGAGCCGCTGTGGGGACGGGGAGGGGTGGCCCGTCGGGGGGAGCGCTGCCGGGCTCCTCGCCCCCCGCCATGGTGAGGGGCTCCTCCGTTGTGGCTGTGGCCAAGCCGTCTTCATCGCCAGGGCCCTGAACACAAAACCAACACGAGGCATCACCCCGCCTTGCCGGGGAGTTGTGGAAACTACCATTTCTGTGATGCCAGCCCCATCTCAAAGCACGTTCCTACCTACCACCGCCATTCCCCCAGCGGAAGCAGACTCGCACCTCCCCTCTGAGGCCTCAGCTCCTCCCAAGTCTGAGAAAGTTCCCCTTGCACAAAGCTAGGAGGGGACAGGCCGGGACAAAACCCAGCGCCTGTCCCCGGCACAGCCCTGCCCTGCCGCTGGCGCCCACCCAGAGGCACGCTCGGAGCGAGTGCACCGGCCTCCGCGAAGGCCAGAGACGGCTTCCGTCTCCCTGACCTGCCTCTCCCCCGTGAGCCACACTTACAGAAGTCACCGCTTGCCCAGGGGCTGCTGTGGGTGTGAGGGGGCCCAGGCCATCTGTGGGGACCCCACTGGCTTCCTCATCCTCAGAAGTGCTGAGGAGCAATTCTGTCACAGCTGCAGCTGTTGTCGAACTTTCTTCACCGTTTGGACCCTGAAAAAAGACTGGCATGAGGTGTTGTGCCCCTTCGCCACGTCCCTGGCTCGGCGGTGGTATGTGGCCACAGGCCGGAAGCCACCAGGCCCTCAGGTGACTCCATGACTCCGTTGACTTTGCTCATCCAGGACCACACTTCAGCCCACAGACCCCTGAGCTCCAGGGTTAGAGTGCACCTCTCAAGGCGTCCCCCAGCACAGCTCTGCCAAACTTCTCTGGCCTTAACTTACACACCTCCAGTAACGGGGAGCTCACCACCTCTACAGGTAGTCTTTCTCTTTCCAGACAGTCCTGCTGGGCAAATTCTAGTTTCTACTGAGCTAAGACCTGGTAGAACTGGAACCGATCCCTGGCCTTCCCACCCTGTGATAAGTGCTTTGCCTTTAAAGAAAGGGGAGGAGGGGGAGGGAGAGAATGGGGGAGGGATGGAGAGGAGAGAAAGAGGGGGAGGGAGAAGAAGAGGAGGAGGAGAAGAAGGAGAAAAAGAAAGGGAAGAGGAAGGAGAAGGAGAAGCCCACCCCGTTCATAGACACAAGCCATACTAATGCCCAGCGGCCGGAGAGCGCCATCAGCTGGCCAGTGGGTGTCCTCCCCACTGCGACATCTCCCTGCACGGATGCTAGACCAGAGCCAGAGGCTGCCTGACCAGCCAGACGACTGGGGGAACAAGTGTGTGCAGTGACCTCAAAGGCCAGGGTTGTTGATCCCTGACGACATGATGGCCCCAGCCACGCACTCCCTCGGCGGCTGCTCGTTCAGTGTCTACCGTTTGTCAGGAATGACGTCCGTCAGTGAACAAGATACCGTGTGTGTGATCCCTGTCCTCGCAGAGCTCACATGCTGGTAGGGAGCCAGACATGAACTATTTACCAAGCTCATTATCAATCACAGTTATGACGAGGCCCTCCAAGGACCAGGGCGGGGAGGCCTCGCAATCTGGGGCATCTTCTGAGGAAGTGGTGTTTGTGCCGGACTCTGAAGGATAAGCAGGGACGAAAAGGAGGAGGGAGTATTGTGGGTGAGGGGAAGGGGCATGATGGAGAGGCTGGAAGGAGGTCAGCGAGGCCGCAACGCCGGAGCCGGGGAGAAAGGGGCCTGGCCGGGGAGCTGGGTCTGCAGGCAAGGCCGGTGGGAAGCTTCCAAGCACGGGGCTGATGCACCACAGAGAAGTTGTGGCGGCGGCGGGGGGACTAAGCAGGGCCCTCAGCAATGGCCAGGGCTGGGCACGCGGTGACTCAGTGTAGGGGCCAGCTCTGGATAAGGACAGAGCAGGCGGCTCACGACGTGTTTAGGCAGAAAAATCAACAGGAAGACGCTTGATGGGATGTGGGACTTAAGGAAGAAGGAAGAGAGTTCTGGATTAGGCAACTGGGGGGCAATGGCCCCACTCATGCGAAGTGGGAACACAGGAGAAGCGGGAATGAGGAGTTTGGCTCTGACACTGTTGTTTTGGAAGAACTCGAGTGTGTCCATAACAGGGACACCAAAGGGACAGACTTGCAGAGTGCCTCGGAATGCTGGTGTCCCCTTCAGGAGCCGGGTGTGGTGTCTCTGCACCACTTGAGGAGAGGCCTGGGAAGGCCTGGTCATGCCCTTTGGCCCTTGCTGGGGCCTGCCTGCCCACACCCTGACCCACCACCTGCTGACAGCCGCCGTGCCTCCGGCCCTTCTTCCACCCACAGCCCTCCATGGTTGCTCTGGCTGCCAGCCCCTGCGGGTGCTCCGACCCCCCAGCCCCCTGGGCCCAGCTCCCCACTGGCCTCGGGGGCTTCTTCACACCCCTGCCCAGGCCTGGCACACTCCACCCACCCCCGAGAGAGCTTTTGGTCACAGAGGTCCCCCCAGGCTGTTCTGGGTTTGCTGCGCAGAATGGAGCCCACACTCTGAGAAGGCCGGTAGCTGATCCCGCCCATGACCTTGATGCTGCTTACCGGAGTGACCTCTTCACTGGGGGGCTGGGTGGCCTGTAAAAGGGCCAGGCCCCCGGTGGGCACACTGCCGGGCTCTGTCTCCCCAGCAGTGCTGGTGGGCACCTCGGCCTCCTCTGCTGCTGTTGCCGCAGACCCCTCTTCATCGTCCAGACCCTGGATAGAAAGAAAGATGGCAGGGCAGGACCCTGATCCACTGCACCACGGCTGGAGGAGCGGACGACCAGGGCCCTCCTGCACTGCATCCTGCTGTCCCTTACCTTCAAAGCACCCGCACATCCAGGACCTGACTTCAGGTCGCAGCCCTCAGTGGGGCATCCGTACAGAAACCAGCCAGGGTGCGAGCCGGACCCGGCACCCCCACCCTTGGGATGGCTGCACCCAGCTCCCCCCACCAGCCTCTGTCCACCACTGCAGAGAGTGCAGCTCTGTGCTTGAGTCACTGTGTTGGGACAGAAACCCAGGTCCTCAGACTCCATAGCTGTGCTGTTGAAGGAGTCGTCTACATCCATTGACCACTGCTTGGTCACGCACGGTCATGTTTACAAATTCGATGGACGCTTTCAATCCCTTGCTCACCGGGACTTCACTGCTGAGCACGCCCCAGAGCAAGCTACCGCCACCACTCACCTGCGCTCCCACGCGGCCGCAGCACATCCACTCAGCAGCAGTCGGGGGGTCGTTCTGGAATTCTCATCTGACTACATCACTTCCTCGATTCAGACCTTCAGCAACTCCCCACGCCTGCTGAGCCACCCCGCAAGCCCTCTATGTCCTGAGAAGCCTCTCCAGCCACACGTCCCCTCCCTGCTCATACCTGGCCGCAGGCGCACTGCACGTCCATAGGCTCTAGGCCTTTGCTCCTGCCAGCCCCTGCAGGGACACCTGTCTCCCTCCCATCTGCTGGGCTACTCCTGCCCATCCTCCTGGGCTCGTCTGCGGCCTCCTTTCCCAGGGGGGCTTCCTTGACCCCCAGTCTGGGTTCTAGTCCCCTTTTTTGTGCTGCCTGAACACCTGTGCTTCACCCACCACTTACCACTGCGCCTCTTACCACCCTGTCCCTAGGAACTGGGTCATTCCTTTTTACTATCCATCCCTGCAACCAGGCCTAGTGCCCAGCACCGCACCGCACCCTGCAAACGTCCGCTGAATGAGTCAGTACGTGCCTCGGCCTTCTACTCAGTGCCTGCTCGGACGCGGCCCCACAGGACTGTCACTGTGCATTTTGCAGACAGATGAGGAAGGTCAGCGACTGCTCCCACCCAAGCTGATCCCCGTGCCCCGGAAACAGGTGAAGGGGAGCATGCACTCTGAGCTCCTTACTGGAGTGACCCCTTCTCCGGGTTTCTGGGTGGCCATGGAGAGGGTTGGTCCCCCAGTGGGCACACTGTCAGCCTCCGCTTCCCCGGCAGTGCTGATGGGCACCTCAGCCGGCCCTGCTGCTGTTGTTGCTAAACCCTGCAAACAAAGACATCATGAGAGACCATGTCACTGGGCCCTCGGCCTGATCCATGTGCCCATGGCTGGAGAGAACAGACTGCTTGGGCTCCTTCAGCAACCTGCACTTCTGTAGCTTCTTCACTAAGGACTTTCATATCTACAACTTCATGAATCCAGGGACAGGAGAGACCACCCAGGCACCCATGCCTTGTGTTTGATTCCAAGCACCTGTTTGCATCTCCAGTGGCAGGGAGATCACTGCTCCTAAGTCAGCCTGCTCCAGCTCCAGATACTTCTACTGAGACACATCAGCCCTGCGACCTCCCCATGTGCCCATTCCAAAGCCATCAGAGCAATGTCTTCGCCCATGGTGATGCTTCCAGGATGGGCAGGCAGCACCTCCACCCTCCTCAGCCTTCTGCAGACCAGACTCTCTGCCTTCTCTCTTTCCCTATGACTCAGTTTCCTTTGGGAAATGCACAGGCAGATTCTCTGAAGGTTACACAGCCAATGGGGAGAATGGAAAGAGACAGTGGCTTTGTCTGCTATTTTCACCAAACTATGTTTTATCTCCATTTTCCAAAGTTCTGGGGATTTTTTTTGTTTGTTTGTTTTTGCAAAAAAGTAGTTCTTTTGTACGCTATAAACACTAGGCTGATCAAAATTAGACAGATTTCCTTGCAGGACTTCTCAGAGCCTATAAAAAGGGGAGTGTAGGGTGGAGCATTTCCCAAACTTATTTGACCACAGAGGCCTTTTTCCACGAAACATATGAAATCCTTGCAGAATTAATGTCCCAAAAAACAGATGGAAGAAAGATGATATCACAGGATGTTAAAATGAGATTCTTTCTGAATTAACATTAGCTAAAGCCCCAAGGTCAAGTACAATTCCACAGGTAACCTCCACATGCTAAGAGACAATTAAATCACACCAGTTCTACCTGCGTCAGCCCATCCCCTACCTCCAGGCTGCACAAGAAAAGGCGCAGGATTCATTTTGGAGTTGAGCGCTTCAGAGTAAGAATTCCCATGGAGAGAATTTTCAGTGTGCTGTGGCTGTTCTCCTCCCTCTCCCGACTCCAGACCATTTGATGAGCTGGCTATGTACTCCTTGGGATTTGGGAGACATGGGGACTGTGTCTGAATTTCTCCAGGGAAAGACAAAGGTGAGAACAGGGAGCCATCTAGACCCAGAGTGGGGACTGAGGGAGAGAGAGAAAGAGAGGAGGAGAGGGAGGCAGAAGGGGAGAGGATCTGTCTTGCAGTTTTACTGGAGATAGGCAAGACATAAGCCCTCCAAAGGGAGCTGGCTAAAGCCCTCTTGAAAGGGCCTGTACCCTAAGCACCATCTGAGGGTCAGGGCACCCGGCAGTGGGTGGAAGCCCAGGCAGAAGTTACAAGGCCAACCAAGGAACTTCTGTCCTAGATCCCCTGCAGGGGGACCTCTGAGGAATCACAAAAGCCCCCATGAGGGAAAGATCCAGCAATCAGGCATCTTACACACTGAAAGCCTGGATCACAATTTGACCAGCCATGTACAACCGTGCCCTTTTGTCCAGGTGGGCCAGACCCTGCCAATGCTACAAACAGCCCTAGGAGAGGGGAGGTCAGGGGGAGTGGGGAGGAGAAAGAAGTAAAAAAGGAGAGAGGAAACCCCTAACCATGCTTCTCTTTCCCAGCAGTTCCTGATCTATAGCAGGCCTGAGTATGGAAGGGGAGAAACGGTATTTTTTGTTGAATTTTTGATATTATGCTGGGCTGGACTTTTTTTTTTTGAGACAGAGTCTCACTCTGTTGTCCTGGCTAGAGTGAGTGCCGTGGCATCATCCTAGCTCACAGCAACCTCAAACTCCTGGGCTCAAGTGATCCTACTGCCTCAGCCTCCCGAGTAGCTGGGACTATAGGCATGTGCCACTGTGCCTGGCTGATTTTTTTTTCTATATATTTTTAGTTGTCCAGATAATTTCTTTCTATTTTTTTTAGTAGAGACGGGGGTCTCGCTCTTGCTCAGGCTGGTCTCGAACTCCTGAGCTCAAACAATCCGCCTGCCTCAGCCTCCCAGAGTGCTAGGATTATAGGCGTGAGCCACCGCGCCCAGCCTGGGCTGGACTTTTAAAGTATTGGGAAAATAGACTCTCACCAGATAGTGACTGAGAGACTTATGAGAACTGTCTGAGTTTTCATATCAGGGTAGGGGAAGGAATGGGCTGGCATTGTGGGTTTTCAGCAGGGGCCCTTGTGAGAAAACTACTTACGCTTTAATTTTCATCCCACTTATCCAGCATTTCACAAAATGGGCTTTGCAAGTGTAAAAACCAATCAACAAACGATAGCGTGGACACAGCTGCAGTTAATCCAATCCTATCTTGAAGGGGGCTCTAAGGGCTGGTGAAGCTGTTCACCTTCACAACTGAGCAGGAGGGAGGGGGGACCATGGTGAGGGGGACACTCAGTGCTGGGCAGGTGTGAGCACCAGTGCACACTGGTGCACCCGCTGGTCCTGGAGCATCCCTGGAGAGCCCTGGAGCGCTGGGACTCTTGCCTTCACTGCACCACGAGGACTGTGGCAGTCTTGAGGACACTCAACTAAAACCCTCATGGTTCTCTGCAGCATTTAGTAAAAGTCATCATCAAGTTTGAAGTAAGCGAACGAGTTTACGACTGGCTTAACAAATGAAATTTACCATTCACTCACCTTTTCTTCAATGATGTCAAGGGAGGCCCCATCCCCTGAGCCCGAGCCAGTATCAGTAATGGGGTCACCATCCACAGCATGAACCCCCTCCAGGGTGTCATTCAGCATCTGGCCAGACCCTACGGGAAGCAGGCATTCTGTAATCAAAAACTGCATTTTGCAGTCTTGGAAAAGAACGAGGTATTTCTTCACCTATTAACTTGCAGGGATTTCCATGACACGGTAATACGGGATTAAGAGGAAAGGAACTGACACGGAGGACGACATGCGCAGCAAGGCAGTAGGGTATGGTGGTCTCCACTGGGGGCTCTGGCACCCCCTGCTGGCCTGGAATCCCGCTTAGCCTGCGCCTCAAATTCCTGATCTATAAATGGGTGATTATAATAATTCCTATCTCCTAGGGTTATTTTGAGGATTATGTGTCACAAGGATTAAATAAATTAATGCAAGAAAAGCAGCGAAGAAAGCCCCTGGCATATAGTAAGCAATTGATAAATGTTCATTGTCCACGTGGTTCTGTATTTGTAAAGTAGAAAAAAAACTAAGAGTTTACATGCTTTATCATTGTTACATATAATTCTTATGTAACGTTTTCATGTTCTGTAATGATTGTATAACATATATAATATACACGTACGTATACATGGATATGTGTGTCCATGTATTCAGATTTGTATATATGCTTTGCTAAACCACACTGCTGAGTGTCAGTGTCTTCCAGGGGACAGGAGTGGAAGAAAAGAAAACTATTACTTTTCTGGTTCATACAACTGTGCATTGATTGACTTGTTACCACATGCACATACTTCTTTTGCAATTTAAAAAGCAAGTGGAGTCCTGACCAAAGAAAAAGAAGTTATACTCCCATGAATGCCCGTCTGCTAGGGTCTGGGCCCATGTCCTCCCTCAGGTAACCCTCCTGCTGGCCCACCTGTCCTGTCCTCCGGGACCCATCCCACACCCTCACTGCCCCTGTCTGCCTGGGCAGAGCCTGGGTGGGGATCCCACGTTTTGAATCCCCACTATCACCACAAGGCATGTGTGTCCTGCCTGATCCGCACATTAACACCTTATTATTAACACCATTGTGCAGAGGAGGAACAAGGTCCTGAAGAGAGCAAGTGGCTAGGAAGGTCCCAGAAGATAGGTCCGCCTGTCCCAGGGCCAAGCCCTTCCCGCACATGCCACCTCCGTGCTCTCGCTGGTCCTGTGGTCCCAACAATGCTGGGTGATTTGCTGACTCTCCAAAGGCCACCGACCTGCTGAACGCCCGGGAGCGCACGGCCCCGCCCCGCACCTGCCGCAGGCTCGCGTCCTCCCTGCTCTGACCACCAGGGGGTGCTGTGGGAGCAGCCCGCGGGCCCCAGGCCTTTGAGCCCTGACCCCGTTGGGGAGGAGGGGAGGTGGCCTCTTGCAGCGGCTGTCCGGGAAGCGATGGAATACAAATATCAGGGGGTTTTCCCTAGCCAGGCATGGCGTTCGGGATGCAGGCTCCTCTCTCTCACCATCTGGGCTGTCTACCCTCCCATGAAGAGAAGGAACCTTTCAGCCAGCTCCGTTGTTTCCCTGTGGCCTTTTGTCCTCCAGATAAGCAGTGTAGCTAATCCTGGAGCAGGCGGAGCTGTGCTCAGATCTGAGTCCCGTCCCCACGTGGATCTGACCTCCTCAGTCTAGGAAAGCCCCAGCCCCTCCGCCTCTGCCCGCACCTCACCCCAGCTCAGAGATCCTGATTCCACCCATGAGAACAGCATTCGCAATCCACAAACCGCTTCCACGACCGCAGCCAGATTCAGCCCTCTCATCCGCCAGGGAGGCAGGGATTTTAACACTCTCAGCACAGTCAAGGAATCTAAAGCTTGGACACGTTCAGCAAATAGGTGGCTGAGCAGGGCTTTCAGCCAGATTGTCTGACTCTTCCCAGAGGCATTCTGTCCGCAGCCGCACCCTGCCCCCTTCTGTCCTGCCTTTACTAAATTATTGTACAATCTTTTCTCCCTAGTGCTCTATACCTTCTATTACCCACAGACTTCCCAAGTTTAGTTGTTAAAGTAACATTCATTAACTGATGGCAGAAGCAAAAAGAACAATGATAAATATTATTGTAGAATACTTGTAAAATACAGAAGTACAATAAAAAAAAAAACACCCATAATCCCACCACCCAGAGACACCAGCTCATATCATTTTGATGTCTATTACATCTAATACGTAATATATCTAATACACACACACATTGCTCTACCTAGCTATATGCAAATAGCTATAAATAACATATATTCAAAATTAGGGTCATAGCACACATAGTTTCAAAGTCTGCTTTTTTGGTGGAATATACCATGAGCATGTCCCTGGGTCATTAAATCTTCCGCATGAGCAATGTCAAGGCCGTACACACGAATGAAGTAGAATTTGCCCAGCCAACCCCTGCTATGGGCAGTTGGGGTTGTTTTTGCTCCTAAGAACAGTGCTGCTAGGAATGATCTTGTGCGATCAGTGCTCTGGCCTTGGCTGTGACTTTGGTCTGAAATAACTGCCCCTCTGAGAAAGGACAGAAAACACTGGAGATCTCAGGCCTTGGGCACACGTCAAGCTGCTGCCTGGGGGATCTCACTGATGTTTGGGCTTTTGCTGGTGCTCTCTGCACAGGCAGAGGAACAACAGGCAGGGGCCACAGCCCGGACGGGGAGCCAGGCAGCCAACTCTCCCCCCAGGACCTGGCACTGACCTGCTGGGTGACCAGAGAGGTCCCTGTCCGTCTGTGGCCATCAGTTTCTCATGTGTGCCACACAGGAGTTTAGCTGACCCGATCATCTGAGCATCAGAGAGTTTGGGGCAAAGGTCAGAAAGGGTGGGGATTCTGGAGTCAGGCCTGGGCTCTGGGCTGTGTGACTGTGGGCACGTCCACCGCTTAGCTGTTCCAAGTGTCAGTTTTTCCACCTACGCAGTTGTGGCTGGTGGCTAGTAATATTGACTAGGAGGTATGTTGTCAGGATTGTAGACGAGGTGTGTAAACACTTGGCACACAGTAGGTGCTCGATCAGCAGCAATGATTATTACAAGCTTTTCTGTTAAACCCCAGAAGGGGTAGTGTCTGGGGGTTAAAAGCTCAGGCCTCTGAGATCAAATGCCAACTCTGCCATTCATAAGCCACACAGTCCTGTCTGGGTTACTTAACTTGTCTGTGACTCAATTTCCTCATCTTGTCTATAAAATGAGGATGGATATTATCCATCCGACCCTTTAGGGCTGAGGGGAAAGTTAAATGAGATGCTGTATGTCACATACATAGCCCACATAGTAATCACTCCGTAAAAGGCCACTATGCACAAACGTGCATCAGGACTCGCCTTCTTCGGGGCTGCTGTGCTGGACGACACTCACGTTGGTGGTTTCCGGGGTCCCCTCAGGTACAGGCTCACCAGAAAGCTCCGTGTCCTCAGGGGGGGAGGGTGGAGTTGGAGGTGTGTTTATGGGTTCAACTTTTGCTTCCTGAGGCTAAAGGGAGAAGAAAATGAGACGCAAAATGATTTACTTAGTAATAAAGAGGAAAAAATGACAGTGAATATCACTGGAGAAAATAATCAATCTACAAAGTGCTAAATAAACCCAGAAGAAAGCCTAGACCTGCCTGTTGTGTACCTGGGCAATCACTACACCTCCTGGGGCCTGAAAGAGGTGCAAGTAGAGGTAGTTAAATTCTGTTCGGTTTACAATGAGATTCTACTCATCTCAGCCAAGCTCTTTGTGCACAGAGACCACATTTCTGTGACCCCCAAATCCCAGGCCAGCACAGAGAAAGTGCACAGTAAAGATCTGTTCGATGGGGGAATGAGCGAATAAATGAAGGAACAAATGAACGAACTGGGTTGCACTCGGTAAACACCATATAACTTTGATCCCCACTGTGCCCTGGTCCTGAACACCTATGACAATGAAAATTGGGTAGGGTTTCCTTCCAATGAATCTTCAGCATCTGTATAGCTTTTCCAAAGCTAGCCAATGTCTTAACCAACTTCACCAACTAGGGAAAAACAAATGAAAACCCAACAGTTGGAAACACAGAGCAGTTTGGAGTTCCAGGCAGAAATCCTGATGTGGGCCTCAAAAGTCATGACATTGCTACCCAGGTAGCAGCTCACGAGACCCAGGGCTTGCCAGCGTTCCAATGGTCTCGTCACTCCCTAAGCTCGAGGGGCTGGGGATGAATGGAAGAGTCCTGCTGACCAGTGTGGGGCTTGTGGTGTGAACAGAAACAAATCTGCGTTTTGATGCTGAGATTTCAGGGTTTATTTGTTACCACAGCATCACTTCCCCATCCTGACTAATAACAGAAGGTTATTTCCTTAATGCCAGAATCTAGTGTATCGACAATGACTCTCCGGTCCACCAGGACAAGGAGGACTCGTAGGAGCCCCATAATGTAGGATTTAATGGTTCATTCCTGCAGTCAGGCTCAGATCAAGCCCCAGCTCTCCACTTATCAGCCAGGTTACGTTAGGCGAGTCACGTAACCTCACTGAGCCGCAGCCTCCCCCTCTGTAAAATTGAAGACAATAATGACTTCTCAAAGGTAGAAAATGCACGGAAAGGCTAAGCTCACCTTTATTTTTCGTCACAAATATTCCATATTCATTACTGAAAACACTCCAAGTGCAAATGAGAAAAAAGAGAAAACAATCACCTTGAATATCAACACCCAGAGAAAAATCACTATCGATTTTATTATGCTGTAAAGTCTTCAGGGCGGAGGTGGGAAGAGAGGCTTCAAGGAGTTGGGCCTTGAAGAATGAGCAGTTTCAGAAAATAGGGGTGGAGAGAGGGGTTGGTGGAGGTCAAGGCCCAACAGCTTGAGCTTGGCAGGAGCGCGGGGCTGGGGGAAGAAAGCCGCAGAACAGAGCCCTGGAGGCAGAGGAGGGAGGGCTTGTCCTTTGGTGGGAAGTATGGGCTTGGACCCAGGACAAGGACAGCCACTGTGGGGTATTAGGTGAGGGAGTGGAGGGGGCAGCTGCATCCTTTGCAGAGTCCAGCCTGGTGGCAGTGTGAGCATGGATTAGGGGGTTGAGGTTAGGACCAGGAGACTGGGGGTGGCACTAAGGAAGCCACGTGAGGCAGGAGCTAAGGCGGCGATGGGCGCAGAGAGCAGGCACCACCCCAGGAGAGGGCGAGAAGAAGACCAGGCAGGATGTTCATCTAGCAGGTGAATAAGGACCCCTGGCCCAGGAGGTTCCTCTCCTCTCCCTGTGAGGGGTCCGGGCAGGAGCCGCTTCACTATAGTTTCCTGATGGTGCCAAGAAAAAGTCCCTGAGAGCTCATCTCTAGCCTGAAGTGAGGCTGCTGGAGGCTGAAGCAATGTTGCTTTTTAAGGCATCTGGGCTTTGGGATAAGGCTGGCAGGGCAGACGAGGGTTCAGGAAACACAGGAAGACAAGGCATCATCGGTGGGCTGAGCTCCGTAACCCAGGGCGGCCAGAGTCGGGTCTGTGTGAAATCACCGGCCCCAGGCCATCGGCCAAGAACTTCCTTTGGCAAACTCCCCACAAGGCAGCCACAGCCTCGAGGGCAGAACAGGACTCTGCTGAGTTGACCCTCGGTAGTGAGGGTAAGGTGTCCTGCCTCAAACACGTGGCTGTTGGTTTTGGGGGGTTGACATGGACGGAGAGCCAGTGTGGCTTGGGACAAAATAGGAATCTCAGATCTTAGTAAGAGTTTTGTTGTAGAAAGTGTTGCAATTTGCTGATCCCACATCATATTCACACAAACAGATTGACTCCTTCAACACATATTTTTCAAGGCCCTACTGTGTGCTTGGTCCTTGGCTGAACGCTGGGGACACAGAAATAAATAAATAGAATGGAGTGTCTGTCCTCAAACTGTCAGACGTTGGAGGAGGCACAAACCCAGACCCAGACCAGACACAACTAACCGTGATTTGTTATGACACGCAGGGTAGTGGAAGTGACGGCCAAGTGCGGGAGGGGGTTGGCAATGGTGGCCTCCCAGGAGGGGACGTGGACAGACCTGAAGCCTGAGTAGGAACCTGCCAGGCAGAGAGCGGGGTGGGGAAGGGCCCTCCAGGCAAACAGAAGCATGAACTAAGGCAGGGTCTGGGGAGAAAGTGCTCAGCGTGTGGGGGGAACTGAGCACGTGGGTGTGGTTGGAAGGGAGGCCCTGGCTGCGGACCGAGTCACCTGCAGAGCTTTGTCAGCGCAGATTCCTGGACCTCACTCCCGACCTGCTGAATTCGAATGTGCAGGTACGTAGCCCGGGCAAGAATCTTTCTCTAAAGACCTCCCCACAACCACCCCCCGACTCTCCACGTACACACAGGTGGCTCTGATGTGCAGCCAGAGCTGAGAACCACTGGGATGTTAACCGCAACTCAGCATAAGACAGACCTTTCCCGAAATGCAAAGAATTGGATAGCAGGGACTCTGACCCTGTGGCGAAGAGGGCGAGAAGGGGCAGATTTTGTAGTCCCTGACCATCAGACAGTCCGAGATTCAGGCTGCTGGCGACGCTCGTGTCTCAGAGGGTGGCAGGCTGGAAAGGCTGAGCATGAGGAAGTGAGAGTCATTCCAAGAACGAAGCCAGACAGAGAAGGGAGGGGACTGTCTGAGCCGAAGAGGGAAATTCCCTGTCCTGGAGGGTGGCTACCAGAGAGAGCCGCGGGGCCCTTCCAGGAGCTGATAAAGGGGGGAGTCCCCAGCTCAGGGGTGGCGTGACTGGGAGCCACCTGGGCCCAGAGCTGGAAACCTGGCTCTGCCAACTTCAGGCTGGACCACTTGGGCAACGCCGTCCACTGCTGTACGCCTTGGTGCCCTCTTGGTAGAACAGACCCACAATGCATCCCTGCAGAGGAGACTGAAGGGAAGGTGAGCACCTGGAAGAGCATGACCCACAGCACAGATGGAGGGGCGCACGCAGAAGGGATTCTGATGGCCGCCAGCCCCAGAGCCACAGCCGGGCAGTGCTCTTAAGGACTGAGGACAGCCACAGGGGTTTGGCACACAGATCAGCCCCAGCCACCAGCCACCAGGAGGCAGCCGGCAGGGAGGGGGCCCCAAGAGGAAGGAGGCATCTGCACTGTGCCCGGCACAAGGTCAGCCCTGAACTGGGCACTCTAACACGTCTCCCCCGAGTCCTTGCAACAAACCAATGGGTCAGTAGTAACAACAAGCACTCACCACACGCTGCTGCGGGCCAAGCCCCATCCAGGGTTTCACACGGGTCATTTGGTCTAATTCTCACACTAACCCTGTTGTAACAGAAGGAACCTGAGCCTTGGAGAGGTTAAGTTCCTTGCTCAGGGTCAACAGCTAGGAAGTGGCAGGGCTGGGACTCACACCTGGTGGGACACTGGTCTGCACCAGTTCTCTTAAACCACTGAGAAAAGTGGGGCTGGAGAATCCTGGAAAGAAAATGTTTGGGTGCCCCAGAGGCCACCACGTCCATCAAATCACAAACGACTTTTCTTTTTCACTTCTCCAGAGACTCTGGTTCATAGCCCCCTCGGCCGGCGTGCGTTCCACACCTGCTCCTGCACCTGCAGTGCCCTGGCCCTGGGGAGAGGCCCCGGACTGGAGCCGGTTGGGCCCAGCCCGAGTCCTGACTCTGCCACCGTGTGACCCTGGTGGAGCCACCCCTGGACTCCTGAGTGTCTAATGCCGCATCTGCACAATGGGGCTGATGCCTCTTGCCTTGTGGGGTGTGGCAAGGACTAAATGAAATCACGTATGCAAAAGCGCCAGGCACACAGTGGGCATCTAGAAAAGCCCGTTCTCTTCCCTCCCACCCTGCTTCCTTACTCCCGTCCAAGCTTCCCCGCCCCACTCTGGCCCTGCGATCATCTCCGGCTCTCAAACCCCACTCTCCTCTCCTGTCCCTCTCTCAGGGCCACCTTGGGCTACTGGCATCTCTGCCTGAGTTGGCCTCGTGGTGAGTTGCGAACTGGTGCATGGGAAGCAGCCTTAGGATCGAAGGCTCAAGGGAACCCCACTCTGTGCCCCATGCCCCGGACATGCCCCTGGGGTGGCCAAGGGCTGATGGGCACACAGGATTGCAGCACTGCCCAGAGCGGGTGCCCTCTCCACTCAGCAGGTGGGTGGGCACCTTGCACCTTGACTTCTGCCCTGCCAGCTGCCCAAGGGTTGGCTGGGGTCCTGAGGACGGACTTCTGCAGCACCACTCAGGCCATGGCCCCACAGATGGGCATGAGGAGACGCGTGCTCTAGCCCCAGCTCTGCCCACGCACTCTTGGGCCAGTCTCTTCCCCCTTCTGGGCCTCAGTCTGCCCATCTTTATAAAGGGCAGTTTTCTATACACCTCTGTACAGAAAGAGATGACCTTTAAGTCCCTCCAGTGCTAAAAGACTGTGGTCCTACTCTGCCGCATCCACACCCCTGTCGCCTGAGGTCTATCATTTCTAGCCTCCACCTGATTTCTATCTCCTGCTTTCTTCTAGCAGCGATGAGGTTACAGAGTGAGCCAGACCAGTCGAGATTGCTGAAGCTTTTCTGTGTTCAGTGACTCAGACGCTGTTTGCCATTTTCATTAAAAACGGGCTCCTTGGTGTCCCCACAGTCTGACTCAGTACTTTCGAAACCACTTCCGCGTCTCAGCCACAGGGTACATTCCCAGGAGGGCCGCCTCTCCGTGGGGTCAGCAGTGAGCTCCCAGGAGGACTGTGTCACTTGAAGGAGAGGGGGCCCAACTTTGCTCTCACAGCTGGAGCCCTGAGCAAGTGCAGCAACAGCATCACACAGGGCCATTTCCCTTGTGCCAGCCACTGGGCTGTCACTTGTCCCTGCACTGCCTCATCTAACCCTCGCCACGACCCTGTGAGATAGGACTATTATTGTCACCATTCTGTGAAAGAGGAGTTGAGGTTCAGAGAGGCTGAGTAAGTTGCGCAAGGCCACAGAGCCGGGAAGCAATGGAGCATAGATTTTGTCCTTGGACTGCCCTCTCGTGGCCACAGCACAGGGTGACACCTAGGTGTTCCAGTTCACCTAAGGATTTTGCAAGATGCCCACTGGCCAGCACTTTCCTGACTTCCCCAGATGAGTCAACAATTAAACTCACAGATCTGCAAACAGAGGCGTCAGACCTGGGGCTCTGGGCACTCTCCAGTAATTGTCAGCCCCTAGCAGCTGACCAGGACCACATGGCACAGCACCCCAGTACTCACCGGGGCCTGAGTGTAGGTGACAGCTTCCACGGTCTCAGCCACTCCGGCCGTCTCCTGGAGCCCACTGGCCTCTCCCGATGCCTGTGTAGAGACAAACCACGCTGCACACTGGGCAGAGGGGCAGCAGGTTCCGTAAGAGCCCAAGTGGGAAAGTCAGAGAAACCAACACCAGCTCCTGCAGGGGAACCGTGCGTGTGACAGAGCCAGCGGGCCAAGGAGACGGCAGGTGCAGTGTGCACGGTCGACTATTCCTTTGTCCGGGTTCCCTTCACTCTCCCGATCGTTGTGAGGTTGTCACTGGAGTCTTACTCTGGGAACCATTACGGCTGAGGGATGACTTCCTACTGTCCCCTCATCTCCATCATTAGCCTCCTAAAGGCAGCCGACGAGCCCGCACACCAGGATTTTGTAACCAATCCCTCGTTCTTGGACTCTTGGGCTGTTTCTACCTTTTCAGTATTAATGGCGATGCAGAGATGGACGAATACAAACGTTCTCACAGAACCAAACTCCACCTCCGAGGGGCTTTCCAACTGAATGGACGGCATTCTGGTTTTTGCTAAGTTAGTGGAATCAACGTATGCTTTATTGTGGGGTTGACACCACGCAAAGAGCAACAGGAGTTCAAGGAATACGCCCCCTTCTGCCTGCCTCTGACTTTTCTCATCATGTCCTCCCTTCTCTCAGGAAGGCCTTTTCATCCTCATCTGCCGAACACCTGCTTGTGCTGGGCAGGCAACGACTTCACCCTCACCTGCTCCGAGTTCCTCCTCCTGCTGCTCCCACCTGACCCGCTCAGTTTGGGTTTGAGGACCTCCCTGTGTTTCCATCACACTCAGCTCCGTCACTGCCTTTGGGTTTGTGCAGCTGGAGGACGGGGGCCGCTCCCTGCTCATCCCTTCACCTCCAGCATCTGCCCAGGGCTGTCACCTGGCAGGTGCTCAGCAAACCCGGGAGGGAAGGAGAAGGAGCCAGCTTTCTTTTCCTGCCCCCCACCCCATCCCCAGCTTCGGAGCTGAGTCCCTTGCCAAGCATAAAAGCTAAATTTAGGTTACTTTTCAGAGGAATTTACACCCAAAATATCTTAGAGTTTTAACTTTGATTTTAGCATCCTGACACCGTTTCTTGGTGAGAAGGCTGGAAACCAGGCCATTGACTGCCGCAGCCATGGACGAACCCGACACCCTGTGAGAAACATGGCCCCCCCACCAAAGAGATGGCTGAAGCTCTTTAAAAGGCGAAATAAAGCCAAAAACCCAAAATAGGACTCGAGGCAGCGCTTGCCAGGACGAGGGCTTTCAGAGCCTCTCCGCCGCTGGGGAGGGAGAATTGCCTGGGCCCCGGCCCCTCCCGGCCGCCTGGCTCTGGGGCTGCAGGGCCCGCTGGGGGTGCGGGGGGCTCACCGACGACTCTTCAGCTTCGCACAGCTCCTCGGGCGTCCTGGGGTCAGGGTAGACCGTGAGCTGCTGTATGGAGCCCTGGGGAAAGAGAGGGGTCAGAACCACGCTTTGCATGTCCACAGCATGGCTGCCAGTGAAAACACGGCTGTTTCTGCAACGGAGAAGAGCAAGTGAAAGCACGAGTGTGAGAATGTGCTGCCTGTGCCGTGACCAGGAAGCCAAGTCGCCTCGCGGCCCACTCTCCGTTGGCGAGGAGGACTCTCCCTGGGCCAATATAACACTGACCCCCTGAGCCAGAGAGGTCCTCGGGGAGCAATGAGTTCCAAGTGCGGACCCCACGGCAGCCTCCTAACTGTCTCCGGGCCCCCAGGTTGGCAGCTGCGCGCCCTGATGCTCGGCTCCCTCTCCCGGGAGGTGTCTTTCCCCCGGAGCTCGGAGCTTCTGGGCTGGAAGGCCTCGTCCCAAGAAAGGCTACCCAGGCAGCCTCCCTGCCTCCGCTCTCACCGGTTCTCCCATCCCTGACGGCTCCTTCTCCACGCAGCCCTCAAAGTGGGCATTTAAAAATTATCCAACAGACTTGAACTTCTTAGCATTCTCCACCGTCTTCCACTGTACCATCAAATAAACCCAACTCCGCCCCACGGTGCCGTCTCGTTCGCGAATGCGGTAGGAGTAAATGAATAACTACAATAACTTAGCAATTTTCTTTAGAATGGCCTATTCATAAAAGCCCATTTCGATAACAAAGTCAGTTTTCTGATTTTTTTTAGTGCATGTTGTCCAAAAGGAGAGAGAGAAGCTACCTCTCGCTCTGGTATTCTAGTGCATTCCACCATTGTGGAAATTATTAACACTCAAGTGTAGTTGCTGCCGTATGCAAAGATAAAATCATTTGAAGATATAAAAAACCTTAATCTTTTTTTATAATGCCTTAAAATGTGCACAGTGCTTTCACATAGGTTATCTCATTTGACTTCACAGGACTCTGGGTAGGTTTTCTTATCTCTTCTTACAGATAAGAAAACTGAGAGGATCAGGGAACCCAGGGACTGTCTAACCTCAGCAGACTAAGTTGAAAACCAAGGACTGGAATCTCGGTGTTTGGGTCCCTAGTGTTCTTCCCACCATAGCACGCATGCCTCTTCGAGGACATTAGAATAAAATAATAATGACAACAGCTGCTTGTAGTGACTGCATAGTGAGAGTCTGTCCATGGGCCTCCCTGATCTGCCGGGAGCGGGATTCGACTCACGGTGAATCTCTCCAGCCCCGTGGCTCCCGCGTTGCCCACGAAGATCCCTGCGCTGGGCTCGAAAGCCAAAGCCCGGGGGGACCTCTGGAAGGCGACGTGGCTGTGCTCCTCGCAGTCCACGAGGAGGGTCACTTCCTCGTCCTGGACAATCACGGCGAAGCGGTTCCACCTGTTGGTCATCACAGGCACCGAGAAGGCAGCAGCCTCGTGGGACACGTGGGAGCCAGGCTCCGTGTAGTAGAGGATGACCCGCTGGTGGCCGTCCTCCACACCCGAGAGCCGCAGGCCCAGGTAGATGACCTTCTGGAAGGCATCCGTGATAGCAAAGAGCACGCCGCCGTGGGCACTGCTGGGCTTCACCGTGACGCTGATGGCGAAGTCCCTGAAGAACGTGGACGGGATGAGGGTCCTGACCGGCCGGCCGACGTTGGCACCAGGCCCGAAGCTGTAGGCCGGGAAGCCACCATAGCCCGTGACAAAGGATACAGACGAGGGCAGCGGGACACCGATGAGCTCTGTGAGGTCCAGGTGGCCCTGGGAAGCGGGCTCTGCAGGAAGGTAGAGAGAGAGGCCATGTTCACAGGCATATTCCACTGTGCTTGGAAGCGAGGACAGTCACAAATGAATCAGGACCCCTCAGGAACCCCCCGAAACTGCAGTTTCTAAATTGTCGTTTTTCAAACCATTTTTGACAACAACCCACAATAAGAAATGCATTTACATGGCAACCCAATAAGCACATGTGTAGATAAATATACATCTGTAACACTGAAACAAAGGTTTACGAAACATTATCGGCTTTTAATACCCACCAGGCACTCGAATATTTTCCTTTCCATTTAATTATTCTTTTTCTCCTTTATTTTATGAAAAACATGCTGAAAATGACCTCCCAAATTGATTCCACTACCCATTAATGGGTTATAGACTTTCCGGTTTAGCAAGGAATCTCAGAGGTCGCCTGATAGAACTCTCTATCTAAGATGCGTTAGCCCTGCCCTGTGCAGTACGGAAGCCGCCTGCTGCGTGTGGCCACTGAGCACTGGAAGCGTGGGTCTTCCCAAATGAGATGTGTCATAGGTGTAAAACGCAAACCGAATTCCAAAGACTTAGTTTGGAAAAAGGAATGTAAAATATCTCATTAAGAATTTTTATATTATTATATGTTGCAATAACAATTTTGGAAAATATGAGATTAGAATATATTATTAAACATTTTTAAAAGAATAATATGAGGAACAAGTATGCGTCCACTACTTCACTTAGGAAAGAAAATATGAATTCAGCTGAAGCTCTCATGAACTCTCTCCAATCCTATCCTTCTGCCCATGCACCCAAGGTAGCCACGCTTGTGAACCTGGTGTTTGTCACTGCCGTGCATTTGTTTGTATGTTTGCCCCTCGAGTGTGCATCTCTAACAGAATGCAGAACCACTGCGCGTGTTCTAGACCTCATATACACGCTGGCACGCTGCATGTGTTCTTCTGGCACTTGTTTTTCTATCTTTCACTCAACATTGTATTTTTGAGACTTATCCTTGTTGATACCCGTGGCTCTGGTCCTATACTTTCATGACAGTACTCTAGAGTGTAAATAAGCTGCAATGGATTTATTCACTTTTCTGCTGCTGGAAAGTGAGGTTTCCATCACTATTCAAACAATACTGCTAGGGACTCCCTTATGCACGTCTCCTCGTGCCTACCTGTGCAGGTAATTCCACCACCTGGGGATAGAATTATTGGATGACATGCGTATGTGCACCTGCAACTTTACTGAACGTTGCTAAAGTGTTCTCTGAGGCGACTGTGCCATTTTGCACGTTCACCAGCCATGTGTTCTTGCCAACATTTAGGGGAGGCAGAGAGGGATGATTTGGGAGAGGTCCAGAGGGCTTTTCAACTGTAGTGGTAATGTTTATTGTTTATACTAGGTGATATTCAAAGGAAGTATTCATTGTATTATTCTTTATAACCAATTTCATGGAAAATATTTCCCAAGAAGTTTTATGAAAATCATCACCCTCTCTCTCCTCAACAAAAGAGCAAATCTGCTGGTGGCCAGCTTGGAAGCCTTCTACAGCTATCCAAAGGCTCAGGGTCAGGGCTGACCAGGCCGCTGCCACCTGGCTTGAGAGGCCCTTTGTGGTCTGGACCCAGCTGTGTTCCCTACTCCCCGAAAAGCCCTGGCACAGTCCCCTGAGTGTCCCATGCTGTCCCAGCCCCCCTCCCCAGGAATGCATTCTTTTCTGCCGTCCACCCCACCCCACCCCAGGGATTCTGCCTGAACAACTAACTCCTGCTCACCATTCAAGACTCAGCCCAGGCCTCACCTCCATGAAATCCCTGTTTCACCTCCCACACCCACACCCACACCCTCCCCTCCTGGGGCTGCGTTAGAAGCCCCCTCCCCACAGACTGGAGCCCTCCATCATAGCCCCCCACACACTGCATGTCAGTGTAGGGTCACTTTTCTCTCTCCCTATCGGGCCACGAGAGCAAGGCCGACATCATTCATCTGTGTTCCCAGTAACCAGCCAGTGCTGATGAATGAATGAACAAATAAAGGAAGGTGTGAGTGAACATAGCACAATCCTCTCGTTTTACAAAAGACTAAACTAAGGTTAATAGAGGGAAAGTGTTTGCTGGCCATGAACCCAGATTTGATTCTCAATTGAATGCTTGCCCCCTCCAGTTTGTAACTTGCTTTAAAACAGAAATTCGTTTTAAGTCATTTGGGTTTAAGAGTCAAACCCCAGAAGGCATAAATTAAAAGATTGACGGATTTGGTTAAATTTGTCTACATAGAAATAAAAAAGTTCCTCATAGCAAAATATAATAATCATGATAATCCTTGCAATGTCAAATAAAACCCCAAACTGGGAAACAATATTTGCAATTATCTATTGTAGACAACAAACTCATTTCTCTAATGTGCAAAGCAAATCAATACCCCATAGAAAAATGGGCAAAGAATAGAAAATTCTATCCACAGCAAAAGAAATAAAAATGGATCTTAAACACATGAAAAATATTCAGCCTCATTTATAATCAAAGAAGTCAAGTCAAGATTATAAAGAGATACCATTTCCCTATCAGATTGGCAAAGACGGGGACGTGGGATGAAAGGCTGTGTTGGCAAGGGTGAGGCAATAGGCCCTCTCCCGCATCGCTGGCGGGGGCATAAACTGGTACATCACCATGGGAGGCAACTTGGCAACATTTATCGAAGGTACAAACACACGTGGGTGCTCTTTGACCCAGCAGTTATACTTGCATGAATTTTCCAACAGATAAAGTTACATATGTGCAACGTAAAGCATGTACAAGAGTATTCACTGCAGCATTGTTTAAAATTTACTTAAATGTCTATCTTTGGGAATGTTAAGTAAATAATAAATTATGATATATCCATACAATGAAATACAAGGCAGCTTTTGAAAAGATGCAATTCCTTAGGTACTAATATAAAACAATCAACAAGATATAGTAAATAAAAATAAATGGACGAAAAATGATAGGGTGCAGAATCGAATTGCTATCATTTAGAAATATATATTAATACATTTTAAATATATAAAAGATATGTGTATATGTATGTATGTATATATACATACATATACACACACACACAGGATTATAGTATCTCTAGAAGGATATGTAAGAAACTAGGGCCAGAGGTTGTCTCCAGGGAAGGGAGTTGTTGGCTGGGGCATAGGAGATTTTGTTTTCACTGGATAGCCTTTTATGCTTTCTCAATTTTACACCATGTACATGGTATGAAAAGTAAAGATATTTACATATTTTTAAAGAGATTAACTCCTCGCATCCACTTTTAGAAATTATAAAACCTATTCTTGCTTTTCTTCACTCAGATACAGCTTATCTATGCACAGAGAGAAAGAAAAAAGAGGGAAAAGAAACAGAAAGAAAACATCCCACTGATATTTCTTTTCTCCCCTCCACAGTTTAAAGATCAAAACAAAACAAAACTAGGAGCACCCTACTGATAGCTCTGCTTTCCTCTTCATTGATCTAACCCTATAGAAAGCTCTTCCTCCAGGTCCTCTCTCTCCTACTGAGAATAGGAGGTGGAAGCCCCTTTCTGCTGGGACGCTCCAGGTTTGGGAGAATTACTGGTTTCACAGGGAGTAAATGGGCCTGAGTTTTCCAACCAGTGGCTTATTTCCAAGAGGTGGCCCTGGGGGTCCCAGGGTCAGGTGGGGGTTCAGGAACACAGGAGGAAGGGGCTGAGAGGTTCCCACTCAGGCTGCTTACACTAGCCCAGTGCTTCCCATGGCTGGTACATCCAGGCTTGTAGCAATTCTGGGAATTCCTATGCCCATGAGTCTGCTTAAAAACAAACATTCATGAGTCTATGCAACCTCGTTGTTTTATGGACAGGGAAACTGATGGTCAGGGAGAGAGCATGACCAGGAGACACAGCCAGGAAGCAGCAGATGGAGCAGCAAATCGGGGGTGGACAGAGACTTGAAATCATGAGTCCCCAGAGCTGGTGCCCTCCCACGACCCCCGACCCTTCCAGGCTCTGGCCATTGGTTGGTCAGCTGGAGAGTGGGCAAAGGAGGCAGCCTGCAAGGGGAAGAACCTCAGCTTTGGAAAGAGCGGGGTTCAGATCCAGGCTTTGCCCTTTACCAAATGTGCAGCCTTTGGGCAGATAACTTACTGGTGATGTGGGGAGGTTTCTGCCACTTCCCACATGGGGTTCCAATGAGATGACAGATGAGAGTGCAAGTGCTCAACAAATTTTAGTGATTAGCTTTCAATTCTTCATAAAGGCATAAGCTTAGCAAAAACCAAAGTCTGCAAAGAGATCCCTTCCTAACCCTCCTGCCCCCCTGCTACCCAGGCCTCAGCCGCGGCAGGGAGGACACGTGTGCAGGCGCTGGCCCACAGGCCTTGTTTCCACTGGGTCGGCCCCAGGGGAGCCAAGCCCCAAAACTAGAGCAAGCCCAAGTCAGCCCAGCCCTGCTCTCAGCACCCCCACCCCCTCCCCATGCACTGTCTCACAGCATGGCGTGGTGGGGGACGACCCCTGGCCTGGAGTGACCCGTGCTCAGGGTTGTGCCTGAGCCTGCTGGCTCATTTCCCCCTGGCCTCCAGCAGGAGGGCCACCTGCTCAGGCGGCCACCAGGGAGGGGAGGAGAAGCCGGGGAGCCAAGACAAACAGGCCCAGCAGCTTGGTCCATGGGCTTGTCCTGGGATGGCTCTGTGCTGGGCAGGAAGGGAGGAGGGTGGAGAGCACAGCTGGTGGGAAGACAGCCCACCATCCCGGACGGGCAAGACCTGGGGGACTGGGGGGTGCTGCTGATGGGGCCAACATGGAACTCTCCAGCCTCAGCATCCTTGGAGGGGGCCCACACTTCTCCACAGATAATAACACCTGTCGTGCAGGACAGTTGTGTGACTTGAACATAATAATATACCTAAAATGTTTAACACACTGCTTAGCACACAGACCATTCAATAAATGGTAGCTACCATTTCTGTCACTATTATTATCCTGCTAGCCCAGGCAATTGTCATACTGG